CGGTGTAGTAGATACCGATCTAAGCTGCACATGATGCTTTTACAACTCGCCCAAATTCATTAATTACGTAACAATACCACTAACTATGCTAACGTCACGTCAAAGCAAAAAATGATCGCATTTTTCAAAAGTTCGCAAAGTTTTGACCTGAACCTTTTAAGAAGATATGTCTCTAATTGAACCGAATTTTTCGTTCTGCCGATTATCGTTTGAATTGATTAGTAGGGAAGTATCTCGCAATTTATTCCAATTGGAAATATTGAAGGTGGGGTTGCAACAAGAAAACGCAACATACCATGCCGTTGAATATTCAATTTGATGTGAAGGCAGTCCTTAAAGAAAAACCTTTCTTGCCCTACATACACCGAGAAACGGACAATCGGATCTGAGATATAAAGGCATGAGCCCATTGCCAAGTAAGTTTAAGATGTAAAACGCATCAAAAATAATTTTGAAATCTCTGATACCAAGCGCCTCTGTCTCCAAATGTTACATATTTACTAATAAATTTTATACATGGCTCGATGATGAATCGCTCGAGGTTGGTGATGTGCTGCGTTCCATGCGATTGGCCGGTTATGTTGTTTTCTTTACATAGTTGACGTTCCAAGTCAAAAATTTTGGATATTCGTGTTTGCAACTATTGTCGCCATAACTGCACGATCGTCTGTATTTGTCGCACTCATTGCCTGTTACATTGATTTATTATGTCATTAATTTTTGTTGACAGACAAAAATGTTGTCGCTTACTTCTGTTTATGAATAGCTAGTGGTTACATTTTATGATATGTCTGTGTGTACGTATTTTTCAAATAAACTAAATAAACTCTTAAATATTTTCTAAATTTAAACAAAAATATTAAAATTAAGTTAAAAAGTATTTTATTTGATTTTAATATAATTTTGCAAAAATTTCTCTTAAACGATATCTATTTTAGTAAATGTAAGGCTCTAAACATTAATTGAAATTTTCGAAATCTTTATAGAGTTCATACAGTTTTCTCTGCGTTTTTCAGTTTGCACAACGCTTTGAAGTTTGTGTGCGTATTGTTGGCGAAGTCAGTATTAAAAGCATTCTTATCCGTTTGTTGTAAAAAACTTATTGACGAATTTGGTAAAGCACAAGGCTGAAAAACAAAGAAAGTGTGGATCCTTGAGCTTAAATAGTACGCGTGGAATCGCGCCATTATAAGACAAGATTCATCATTTCTATCAGTTGTTTAAGGATTTAAAAAAGTCCGTCGGTAATCTTTAGTTATCTTTAAAATCATTTGTTGAAGTGTTAACTGGTATGACATTTTTCAGTTAGATCCGATTATCAAACCGTTATTTGCTGAAATTCTCAAGCAGCCAAAGAAATAATAAAACAATGAAGACTTGTTTTCTACTTAAATCTGCGTGTCAAAGAGCTTATAAAACCCGCAACCAAAAGTGGATTATATTTCAATAATAATGTGTGACATCAATAGCTTAAGACAAATTGAAGTCGTCTTATGATATGGGAAAAAAAATATTGAATACAATCCCTGCTCAACTCTTCAGGAAATAATAAACTTTTTATAAATGATAGTGTTTGTAAAAAGTATTGTGCACACACACACACACACACATACACACAAACGCAGTCTACAATACTGTATGGCCATTATACACACGGTACATGCACGTATGGGGCTTTTGTAATTAGAACCGCCAGCAACATACTTTAATGAAGCTGAGTCGCCAAATAACAAAATATGAGAGAAACAGAAATAAAAATGCGTGACTAAAGTTCTGTAGTGGCCATTAACATGTTGTACATGATGTGCGAGTGTATGCGTGTGCATTTATGTACATTTTCTTTTCTTTTTTTTTTTTTTTTATTCCTACGACAAACACACTCTACTTCGGTAGTCAATCATTAATCAAGTATAGTGTATGCAGTGGGCAAACAAACGCATACATTTTCTGACCTATGCATTCGAATACAGTTGCATATAACATACATCGTACATTTATAGATATTGGCTTGTAAGCACAGCCAACTTGCACGTATATATAGATATAAATGGACAAAAGTTAAAATATAAGGTTTTATGGCTGTGTTACTATTAACTCCGTATAGATTTCTGTATTTCTGTATTTTTATAGCTGAACACAAAAATCTTGTGCAGAAAAGAAATGGAAAAAACTACAAATACTTGATAAAGTCGCGCCAATGTATGCATATGCTAATGGAAAAACATACAAACTGTATATACGCATCATTCACCCGTATGTACTCGTATTGTATAGGGTTACTTTTAGAGCGCATACTTAGTACAGGATCTATGCGTTAAAGGATTACTTCAACGTATGAAAGAAAAAAAAAAAAAAGAAGTGAAAAAATTGTAGTTTACTCCCACCATAAGAAAGATATGTTTTAAAACCTCTTAGAATACATTCTTGCAAGAAGGTACCAGCAACCGTCACAGTTCATATACTCCTCTTCTGATATTTAGATTGAAAGGCTATTGCTTATGAGCATGAAGTGAATAAATGACCATCTAAAGAGTGGTATGAATACATTTTAACCTTGTTGTTGTTGTGGTTGTTGTATGTTCGACTGTCCCATAAATTCGATCTTGAAAAATTGAAACTTTTCGGAATCACCCCGCGCCGTTTATCATCCAGAACACATTCAATACTTCCAAAGAAGTAAAAGACGACCGACTGTCGCTAATGTATTTGAGATATAATAAGTTTTTCTCATTAACTTCTTTTCAAATATCAATCGTTAAATATGAGAATGAAAAAGAGTACAAAACTTCATACGGTGGGCAATGAAAACTATAGACCTGGTTGTGGTTTTAATTTCCAGAAGGAAGTCAGTGCTTGAGTCGAGTCAAATTCATTTTTCTTAGCAAAATCTTGTTTGCTTGTACTGACTGCAATGCAGGCGCCACGAAATTTATGGCCCAATATTTTTTATTCCTGTGCTCGGTTTCTGCAAATTTATACTACAGGCCCTTTTGTGTGTGTGTTCGTGTGAAAACTGAATTTTTATTTCAGATACGTGAGTTTATACTAAAATCAATATCCAGAGAGAGAATTATAATGAAATGTAATAAAAGCGTCACGCTGAGGAATCGTGAACGTTTCAATGGTTGACTAAAACGTATATCGGAAGTTTAAGACGTGTATACGTAAGCTGGGCTAATTTGTGCCTTGGAGTCTAGACATGCATGCCTTTCTACGCATCTACTAATTTTTTCGGTCGCCTCAAAAGATTGCTGTAAGAAAGTTCAAGCCCCAAGAGGTTGTGCAAACCGTTACGGTTTTATTGAAAAATATTAAACGCGTTGAAATGTATTAAAGATTCGTGTTGTCCTTTCTTGATGACTTTATTTAATATGCTCCGAGCACTTCACATATATCATTGCAATGAATAGTTTTATATTCTTATGTTTTTTTTTTTTTATACTTTATTTTGCCAGAAGCCGACGGTTTAGTTTGTATTGAATTCAAGGCGCCGATCGTGGACAATTGAAGTTATCTACAGTAAGCGAAAACAACTTTCGTCGAACAAAAAATGAAATAACCGTCTTCGGCATCAACTATTCGCTGATGCAATATAATTCAAAACGGTATACTAAATAGTAGATAGACCTCTCCCCGGTTAGGTGGACGAATACACAATAATGCGTTTTATCAAAGATTGCGAAAAAAAAAATGCTGAGAAATACCGCGAGTTATATGTCACTATGCTTAAACGAATTACAGTAAAGATTGAAAATCTTATACTCTCCAAGCAAAGTTAAGATATTTTAATTATTATTAGCTTATCTCACAATTTCTAGAAGCTACGTATCGCTTTCGATCAGCATGGAGAGCAGGATCCTGACGTTAAAATTACGATTGCAACTTCAAAACATTGCTAAAGAGAATAAACTCCTTTTGAAAACTTGCTTCTTTCTCCCTCTATAAGACTCTTGACCTCGTTTATAGAACTTACGATTGTTTCAACTAAACCGTTTTGATGAATTCGATTGTTAAGAGATGATGAAAAAGTCTACCGAGTGCTTTGCTATAGAATTAGAATAGTCTTTGTTCTCATAGCTCTAACTAAAGTGTCTCTGATACTAGTTGTAGTAGAAGTTTTTGACGAAACTAAAATCTGTCTTTTAACTCATAAACTTGAGCGGAGTGTCCTGTGAAGCGCTACCATTTTTCCTTTTTTCATTCCTAATCCCTTTAGCGCGTTGTCTCACTTCAAAAGGTGTTCTTTTCTATAAGACGACAGCACGGAAGAGAACATGTTGGCTGCCTGTGAACGTTTAATCTTTTAAGGTTTATAGAGAAACTTTTGCCTATGTTTTACATTGCGTATACGTGAAGACAGATAATTGAATGCCCAATCATTAACGCATACGGAATATGGAAGCCATTTTTAATCGTTACGTATGTTACGAAGAGACTACGATATATGCTCAATAAAGTGCTCGCTTCACAATGGACGCTAGAGCGTAGTAATTTTTGCACTTACAATACTTGCACTACAAGCTTTACAGAATGATTCAAAGTTTCGGAAACACGTTATGAATGAAGTTAAATTGTTTTGTGTGTGTGAGAGTCCAATATTAACTAAGCACAGCGATTTATGATGTGCTTACGAAATCATAAGGACGATTTATTTACACTAATGCTATTCAAGAGAGTTTAATACCTCTCTAATGGACAAACAATGTCCTAATTCAAGGCAGTCTTTCGCTCTGTTAATCAAACACATTTTGCATAATTAATAATAGCTTCGCAGCTATATACGGCATAGACAGGAGAGCATTGTCGATGCTCACTTGAAAAAAAGAAGAAGAAATAATCCCAGTGCATATAACAATATAATCGTTATTAAATTCCAGGCAAACTTTTACCTCGCCCACCGCCATACGGCCCGTGACAATTTGGTAACAGAGTTTTTCTTTAAGTTTAAGTTTAATTAGGAAAACCTCTTATTTATTTTATTTAAAAAGTTAAATACCAACCTGGATCCATCATCGTTGATGGATTGCCACCGATCTAATTATCGCAAGGTTTGCAAACAGCTCACGTTACGGGCAACAAAGTAAATCTCGAAGCTATAATTGAAACCCTGAAGTCACAGAACATCTAACACAGCGGCACTTTGAATATTTCGAGCGGAGGAACAACAATTTTCTTACAGGTGCGTCGAGTTGAATTTCACAAATTGAAATTTTGTAATAATTTTTCGCAGTTGAAAAATACTACTTTAGGGGTTTCTTTTTAACACCTGTTACAGTTCGTTTACTCTGTTGGAATCTAGATCACACTTGATCATTAAACTTTTGATTAGTTAACCATTTTTTTTTTGTTGCCAGATAGCGTTATGTTAGATTGTTGTTCGGGTTAAAGATGTGTTTCAACTGAGTTAGTTCTAAGAAGTTTACGAATATTTTCTACTTCGTAGGTTTGCTTTTATGCCATATAACGAATGATTGGTAATAGATTTTATTATATATCGCGAGAAAAAATATCATTTTATTAAAAAAAGATTTCGTTCTAAGGAAAATTTTGCCATATGTACTTTAAATCCCGTTGCGTGCACATTTTTTATTTAATTAGCTTAGAACGTTTACTTAATTTATTTACATTCTATGTATTTATTTATTTAATTTCAAGGCCCTGCGCTCTTGTCTTGCCGTTCCGACTTGTTGTTGTTCGTCAACCGTACTTGTTGCGACTAATTTAAGGCGTAGCGATCGCGCTCTGTTAGCATTGATGTTGATCGATCAGTAACCCATACAAACCGTAACCAACGCCACCCAGTCAGACATTCACGTACACGTACGAAAATCTCATGCATCTGCTTGTTGTCGTCGTTTAAGATCAGCTAGCATTTAAAATTCAACTCACTGTGCGATGCTACGCTACGCAATACAAGTAACTCTTGAATGTATTGCGGTGCTTTGCACCACATCAATGCTTATTTGTATCCGTGTTCACGCGAATGTATGAGTTATATGGTTCCTTCTGTTTGGCTGATCGCATTCAAGATACTTGTTTGATGTGTTCATGTGTATGGGAGCCCTTAATGGCGTTATTTTTATCATAGTATGCGTAAAAACGAATATGAGAATGTTTTTTGTACTCACATAAGAGAGAGAGCAAGTGAAAATCTTAACAACAAAATGAATAGCTTTGATATTTTATCTTATATGAAACAAACAGAGGCCGGGGTCGATGAGAGCAAAATGAGCCACTTGAGAAAATCGCCCAATACGTTACGCGAAGAGAATATCGGAAAATGTATAAAAATGATCAAATTTACAATTGACAAGCGTAATAGGATAGACACCTTAATACTGAAACGTTTCGCCTAATATTTTTCGCGTTTTCAATGGATGACTCGCTTGGAAGTTCGGCGAGTCAATGTAACTGTAATAAAGTGGATATTTTTTTTGTAAACGAATTCCTTTAGTGAACCTCTGGGCAAGAGAAACTGTCAATCTAATCTTTCACTCACTCCCCTTCTTCGAAGATAACATTGACTAGGCTTACTATCCACAAGCGAAATGATCACTGCGTGAAACTGCAGATCCAGCTAAGCTTACGTAACAATAATATTCCAAGTAGAAAGCATGGTATATTGTCCATGGTCCACGGTAACTTTCATTCATTTACATTTTCTGCCATCACCACAAGGAAAATAAGTCCGCGTAGGTTAATTTTGACGCGACTATGGAAAAATGGATTGTAGACATATAGCGTTCCTCAAAAGTTTTTTTATTAGTTATTTAGGTTCCTTACCTCCTTTTTTATTAAAAATGTTGTACATTTAAAGAGCAAGGCTTTTGTATCGATGATGTCTGCTTCCAATCGACCTATGGAAGCGAATCATTTGACTTCCTATTCCCACTTTTGCTTTTATGTCAGCTTCATCGATTATATGCCAGGAGTTGGCAAAGTTGTATATTAAATTGACGCGAAAATTTCACTTTTTACCTAGCTAGTTACCTGGCATGATCCCGTAACAAATATAAAACTTCTATGGGACTCTCATCAACCTAACTTCTGCTCAACTTTGCCGTGAACACATATAATTAAATCTAATTCCCTTCGCTTGCCAAGAACATGTGCATTTTGTAATGTCCCTCAAGTCTTAATATGAATAATGTAGCATTAGATGATTGTATTTAAGTAACATATCCGCTTGCACGGGTAAACTATTTTTAGCCCTTTAGTAGATACTGTTCGTTCAAGCCGGCCACAAGATTAAAACGATCTGAAAGCATTTGACAGATAATTTCTAAAGAAAGCGCCGCATTCTTAAAATATTGAATAAATGACAACATATGCTTCGGGGTGATTTTTTTCTTGGTCCAAAAATAAAGAAAACGCTCTCATCATTTTAAGGAGAATATTCGATATGCATCTCATCATCGCAATGTAAAGAGAAGACGAAGATCTTTTGTCTTTGTCTCATGTCTTTGTTTAACTCATGACTTTTACGTGGATATGAAATTTATTTTCAAATTCGTTGATTAAAATTCCACTAAAGAAAGAAATTCAGACTTTCGTCTAGTTTCTCTTTCTCTTGCTGAATCAGTTTGTGCAGCGTTGAGCAAAGCAAAAGGATTCAGAAAAATAAGACAAATAGACTTATCCGAGACCACTTTAATAAAAACGTCAAGACCACTACTCTATAACTTTCATTGAAAATTGTTCTTCTTCTAATCGAAAAAACAATAAGTCCGATAGCAGCGATAACATAAGTGACCTTCAAAGGTCTATTCATGTTTTAGACGAATAAAATTAATATACGAATTTTTATCACTTGAGCGTTTAATGTTGCTTTACACACACCTCGTATTATATGTACGTTAGATAAATTAAATATATATATATTTTTTATTATTATTTGTTAAAAATTTTACTTCTTTGGCCTAATGGTAGGGTATGTAAAGGATTCGTGTTAAGAGGCTAGCGCACACACATACATAGATGTGTTTAGAGGCTTTTCTTAAATCATATAAATTACTCTGAATAGTTGAATGCATTTACATTCATATTGCACACACAAGCACATATATCTTATTACTCGCTACTACCTCTCTCATATTGCTCGCATTTATTTACTAACAATGCTCACTCATATACGTTATATATCCATATCTTGCACACATCTTTATGATTTAGCTGTTGATTGAATGGTAAACTGCAGGCACACAACAAAATTTCAACCGGGCGGAGTTAATTTTTGAATGCATGAATGGCCAATCTAAAGCCAGCGAGCGTATCCGTAAAGCACTTTTTATTTATGTGTACGCTTGTATGCATGTGTGCGATATGTCATGACTTCTATGCGATCTCTTGCATGAGGATCTGTGACGGCATTGTGTCAATAAATGAAATGTTTACTTATAGGCGGGACAGAAATTATTTGTCAATAAAAATATTGATTGAACTGAAAATATGTAATGAACGAGCGAATTGTTCTTGTATCATAGCTATGTATGTAATTAGGAGAAATTTTAATTTCATTAATATACGAAAAAAAATAAAAAATAAAAATTTAATTTCATTGCTCTTAAGATAAATATGTTAGTATTTATGTTATTGCAGTTGCGCGCGCATTAATAGTTTCAGTTTTACTGCGTTACTTTGTGATAATTAAGTCATTTTAAACGAAGTGGCTCGAAGCGTTACAAACTTTCAATGCAAAATTCATAGGACAATGTATAGAGTATGTAAATATGTAAAATGATTGCATGTATATATAAATACACATATATATATAGATGTAGATTTATTTGTACGTGAATCCATGTAACTATGTATAGATATTACAGCAAGACGGTATTGTTGGTGGTGCTGCATTTCCGATGTCACTGAGCCGTCATGTTACGCTTGGTAGCCTTTAATTATGAAAGATCTCTAATTTTTGTTGTTGTTGTAGGTATTCGAATGTACACGATTAGGTGCATTCGCATTAATATAATAAGCGTTATGCATAATAATATGGGTGAGCGAATTTGATTACAGGTCCAAAACTTATAAATACTTAATCTTGAATAATAATAATAATAAGATTTTCTGAGCAAATGGAAAAAACATCTTCTTCGCCAGAATTGAGCTCCGCTTTAGGCGCCTATTGCCTAAACTCTTACAATGTATGAAAAAAATATTTACCAAGTGTTAATCCAATGTCACCTATTAATTGTTAGTGAAAAATTTCTTGATATCCATAATATCACAATTTTTCTCAAGGTTTCCATGAATTTGCTTAAAATTCTAGATTATTGTCTGCCACAAATTGCCCAATGAGTGATCGTGAGCGAAGTTCACTGTATATAACCAACAAGTGACAGACAAGCACATAAACGGACAGATGGATGGACGAAACATTATAGAGTTTTTCAAGCAAATATACGAGGACGAGAAAAATTCGAAAGGAGTCAGTGCTAGTGCCAAGAATTTGGAAGCGCCCAATACAAATTTTGATGTGTTAGTTGTGAATGAATTCATGTATTAATCTGTTAACCGCAGTATTTATAATGGAACATATACGTCATGATCCGTCCACCCGGAATTACAATGTATTTTAGAAAATATTTTTGTCATTTTGTCGAGTCGTTTCCTCACAATTTAGTTTAGATAGAGTTTCACAAGTTTACTCGCCATCGTTAACGAGGTCGACACAGCTAAATGGCTAAAAACGAAAGCGCTAAAAGCGGGACACAAAGAATGTGAAAGGTCCTGAAGTTGCCGGCCATTGCAATGAATGTCGACAATGCAATTGTAAAACTTAAGACGCGTTTCTCTCGAAAAATCATTTTCCAAAGGAGTAGGTTAGGGTAGTTTAGGGCAGAGAAGAAACCATCTGTTTATAAGAGTGTATAAGAAATTCAGGGTAAAAATCATATCGTTAAACGCCAAAGAAATTACAGATAGCGATGGCTTCATCAAAGTGTTTGCAATCATTATGCAATCATTATGCATCTATGCGCTGGTCACATCGCATTTCCTTGACGCTCGAAGTTCTGTTGTTGGCGTTTTTATAATCTTCTCTTTATAAAAAATAGAGTACATTGGATACTTAATTAGTTGCATAGCTATTGTATTTAATATATCTGTATATTTTTGGTTTCGAAGAATGAAATTCTTTTTCGGACTCTTTTGCTCCTGCTGTAAAATTATTCGGTTATTTATTTATGGTTTGAAAAAAAATTTTGCAATTTCAAGTTATGCAAGTGCAAGTGTTTCCTTTTCTTCCTCTTGCATAAATAAAACCTAAAATTCAGGCAGACATTTAATGGACCATTAAGCTCCTGGGGGATTGTTAGTGTAAGAGCAGAACCAACAATTCGTAAAATAATGCAATGAAAAGGAAAAGCAATGAAGATGATATAAAAAATAGCATATAAAGAGTTTTCTTTTTTCTTTTTTTGGAAAGAGTAATAAAGCAAAACACATGTTTCGAGTAACACAGCTACTTGCAAAAGAATATCAGAAATGGGGAAAAAAAAATTTTTAAAAAACCCACTGTAAAAACTTGGGAAGAAAAGAGTATAAGTACAAGTCATACAATTATGTGGTTTTCATAAACCTATATATATATATATATATATATATATTGGTGTGTAGGTGTGCATTTAGGTGTGCGTCTGTGCGAGTATAAGGTGTCAGGATTCACAGCCACTTAAGCGGTTTTAGTTTACAATTATTATAAA